AAAAAACCTTTCCTGGTTAACAGAAACAATTCAATGTTTCATCTCAATGTTTCTTTCAAGAAGAAAGCTATTCCGACAATGCCATTTTTGTGCTATCAACGTGACACTATCAGAGCCCTAAACAAAATGCATTTCTATTGCTGTTTGTTATTTGGGAAATGCATTTCATCCTGAAAACTAAGCAGGCACAGTGCAGCCACTGACTGCAACAGCAGAAGCAAAAAATAACTCTCCGTAATAGGTGTTTAAATCAGAAGAGCGGGAATTTTTCTCAAGAACAGAGATTTTTCTCAGGTGACTGTATTCTTAAATCACATTCTACCAAAATTTAGATCAAACCTCATAGTAGCTCAATATTTTGTGCTGAAGATACGTACAAAGAAATCAGTAGGCTTTCTTGAAATGTCTTTATTGCTTTTAATTGTTCCTTGGTAACAGCAGACTCCACAGGGTTTTTTAATCTTTTTGTTATTAACCTGTAATGTTCCTTAAAATTCCCCATAAACATCCAATTTCTCATACGCCTACCACAAAAGCCTTCTTTTTATTGACCTCACTATGAATTCCACACCTATTTGACATTTCAGAAGGAGGCGACCCTACTCTTGAGCAGAAATTTTTAACATCAGTATTCATAAAGGATGTCTATGCCAGCACAAAACAAAGGCAAGCACTTTAAAATCTAGGCTGAAAGGCTTCTCACATCCAGGAAAACCTCCCTGGCATTTTTTTACCAGAGAGTTTCCTGATGTGCCTCGAGCTGATAGGCCGCGACGCAGGTTGGCAGCGCAGAATAGCAATAGAATCCATTAAATCCGCGTCGGGAGCCGGTCGCCAGAAACATTACATAGGAATTATAGTGAGGATTTTCTGTGAAACAAATTCTGGTTTTTCAAATGAGATTATGAAAAATCACCCGCTAACATTTCTGCAGAAATGCTTTGCAGCTTGTCCAAATTGTAGAGGACAGCTCATCTTTTCCCACAAAAGCTCACGGAGCTTGTGATTTTGTGAGTTACTGCTTGTTCTAACGACTGAGGGAACAGTCTGGCATCGGTAAGAAGAGATTAGTCTGTATATTAATGCAATTTAAAAATTCACTCAATTTACACAAAGTAACGAAAAAGCTTAATTTGAACCCTCAACAATTCCACTTTCCCCCTGTCTCACGTTCGTTAGCACAGATTTCATTGAGTCTCCAAGAGGCTGCTTCAGAGACGAATAAAAGAGATGAAGCCACGAGAGAAAACACATTTCCAACTCACATTGAGGCTTTACTAATTAGAACTGCGCGCCCTGCGTACGGAGGTGCAATGCGGGGCTGCTGGCGCTGCCACTACAAGAGGTCTCTTCTCGAGCGACCCAGTGGAGCCTCCGCTCAAGCACGTCCGTGGAGAGGGCAGGAGACCGACGTGGGGCCGGGGAGGCAGCGAGCAAATGGCGGCGATGCAGCCAGCCGGCAAGATCTGGCCATCTGGGACGGCTGAACGCCGGTCCTCGGTTTGGAGGAAGAGGGGCCAAAGAACAGAAGTGAAAACGAAGCACGGAACAACACAATAATCTTAATTCCAGCGGCCCTCATTTGTGCAGATGTCGCTGCTACAGAGTTGTCCGAATGAGCAAAGACTGCACAATGCGCTCCTTGGATCAGCTCCTTCACCGTAAGGCAACACCGGATCATAAATTGGTTTCTCAAGGCAGTAGGGTTTCCAAAAGTGGGCATGAGGATCACTTTTTGTCAACGATAAAGATTTAGTTAGTCACACAATGCTCACCCTGCCATTGCTTTAGTTGCCTAAAAACCCCCAAACCTTCCCAGTACTGCCTTTCCAATAGAGAAATCCCCATTTTCTGATTTGCTGGAGATGTTATTTAACCACCAGCTGCAGAGGAGCTCCCCAAAAAGTGGAATGAGACAACTCAGAAGGTAGAAACCTAGGGGGACATTGTCTGCTGAGGCAAAAAAGCATGAGGCACTACCAGAAGTCTGTTTGAGGGGAGGAAAAATAAACAGACCTTGTTTAAACCCTCCTCCTGCCTCAAAACGAAAAGGTTCAGAAACTCAAAACTGATTGAGGAAAAACCAAATACAACACAAAACCAGTCCCTCTTCCTCCTGAAGGGATCAGATTTTTCAGATGGCAAAATAAATTGTCTATTGAAAAAAAAAAAGAGCAGTATCTAAATATATTGCATGTAAGCATTCGTGACCTTGAAAATTCTCCAAGACTTCTCCGCACGTGGAGGCTGTGCCTTGGGCTCACGCACATGTGCAATAAAATAATACCAAGTTTTTTAGCCATCCGTTGCTGTGGCTTTTTTTGTTTCTGCTCTGTTGGCACGAACCAGCCCAGACACCGTCTGTCGCGGCAGCCTTTTTTCAAACGACAGCGAACCCCACGGTATTTAACACGCAAAAGGTGCCACACTTCCAAACAAGTTGACAGGGTCTCATGTATAAAATGAGGTTCACATTTAGATGCTTTCAGTAGCTCCTCAGAAAGGATCCCAAACATTACTTGAGAAAAAAAAGGACAGAATTGTAAGTCTAATTTTAAATAGGTAACACAACTCTCCCTTCAGCTGCGCCGCACACACAGAAGAGCTAAAGAACTCTAACCGTGGATGTAGATTTTTTTAAAAGTCAGACTTATTTCCTTTTTGATACCAACGAGCTGTTCTGCTCTGCAAATTAACTGACAAAATAAGCTTTATTTTAGTTTGGCTTTCACATTGTGTTTGCTTAAAAAAGATGGATTTTCTGATGAGAAGCCCTGCAAATTGAAACTCAGATTTTCTCTGCTTGTATACGACCATTTTATAATTAAATCTGCAAATCTTGAGGTTTTATTATTTCTGCTACCACTAGCTCTTCTTGCAATAGTACAGAAATTATACTGCATACATATAAAACTGTATTTATGCACAGACACAGAATCATAGAAATAAAAGCGCCGGCGGACATAAAAGCTGCCGTTTGAGTTTATACTCCCCAGCAGGAACTCCAGTCAAGCAACGTCCTGCCCATGGGCCTGAAGGGGATTTATCCATCTCCTTCAGGTCAGGCTCAGCAAGAATACCTTAAGCATGGCAGGAGAAAGGTGGAAACTGCCAACTCCATTTCAAGATCAGATCTAGAGCTCCTTAAAATAATACCGATTTTAATTATATATCAATGTTTTAAAGTAGCAAATTTACCTCCTCTTTTTTACACCAGGACTTTCCTTTACCAGTTTAGTTTTAGTACAGATGATCCTCCCTAATAGAGTATTTACAGACAAGGAAAAATAGTTAAACATCAGGATATTTATTTTGCATACAAATATTTACAGAAAAAATACTTACAAAATTAAGCATTCAAAGTTAAATTGACTTCAAAAAAGCTTCATGGTTTTACATTATAAAAACATGTTGCCTTTACTGTGCTCAAATTTAGTATTCAGATCTCTGGATTTTCTTATAAGAGCCTTCTTCTGCGCTTCGTCAAATCGATTGACTTTGAGATCCTGGTCTCGGTCAAATGGCCTTCTTTCCTGAGGTTTGTTCTTTTCTTCAGATGCTTTGCTCTTTAGCTTTTTCTGATGTATGTCCATGAGAGATTCTGACCTCTTTGACTCCTGGAAAAATGGGAAGAAGGAAGAGGAAATAAAGCGTCACAAAATATCAACAACATACAGAAAAACCACATGGAAACACTGGAATCAGGAAAGCTAAAAATTCCAGAAAAAGAAGACAGCTTAGTAACTGGAGAACAGCACGATAAATTTAACATATGTAGGAGCAGAAAGCGCATGTAATCTTGTCTACGCTGAGTAAAATACTAATAATTCACTGACGTTAAAGATACCCGTAATGTTGCTGAATCTCCGCAGACAGTGGAGATAAATTATAAAAATACTGCAAAGGAAATATAAAAGTTGCTCTGCCATTATTATCAGAGACAAATGAAGACAACAGGTCAGGAGAAACATCTCAAAGTACAGGCCCAGTTTCTTCTCCATTTCCCCTGTGCATCTGGCTTTGATCACTGCCAGGGGCAGGAACAAGTGAGACACCCTTTCGGTCTTACTCTCATGCAGTACTGTGTTTTTAATGTGTGCTCTTCACTTTTCAGGATTTGAGTCCTCTGCTGCAAGGCCACGGGACAGGCACAGGTTTGAGGTAGAGCATGTGTTCTGCCAAGTCAAGGACTTCAGTCACCTTCATTAAAAAGCATGATCCAGCCCAAATACCACATAGAACTTTTGCTGATTTCACACAGGAGCAGGATTAGTTCTCACAAGACTACGTGGCCCCTCCTTTACTCAGGTAAAGTGTATTTGTGTATCCCTAAGGAGTCAATTTCTCAGACTCTCAAATCATTACAAACCAGCCAAAAGACCAGTCCAAACCAATTCTCTCATGAGAAAGAACAAAACATGAGCAGCTCTTGTTTTCTCATGTCTAGCAATACGAGGTCTTTATTCCGAGGGTTCATTTCCCTTCACTCCCTGTGCAAACACTTACTTCATCGCACATATAAATAATAATTAATACATGACACAAGAAATGATTCTCATGGAAAACAGAAAATGGACAATACTTCTTCACGGTGTTACCGTGTCAATGTTGTCAGAATTGCACCAGAGAATGTATATGGCATCAGCACTGAAAGAATTAACTGTAAGAAACTATTTTAAGAATTAAAGCTGCTGTTCTATGAAAGTATCCTTGACAAAGGTCAGCGGGGAAAGAGACAGCAAGAATATAGGAAAAGATGTTAAAAGAAAAAAAAAAAAACCAGCCACCTGAAAATCAGAAAAGAGCTCATTTAAAAAACACACAAACAACAAAACAACCCCAAAAACATTGTTCTTAAACATGATGCCCTCTTGGTATCCTGCTACACTGATTTCAATTTTGTTTTTTGAGAGAGATCTCCATTAACCTCAGGAACAATAAAGGCCTATTATGTTTTATTCTGGCAACTGTACAGAGCAAAACACATAATTTTACATGAAAATTATTCTAATATATATATATATTATAAAGACAGTAGAAACAGACAATACAGAAGAAAATTAAGAGAGTAAGCTAATAGCTCAGGATTTGCAAGCCTCTAAATCAAGAGGGACATGTGATTTAATGAACTACAAATAAATTATTCAAAGTGCCAGATAAACTTCAATTATGTAATATAAGCCAAGACTGCGATTCCCAAGTTAATTATAGTCTCAGGAGATCAGACTGCATTCCGTAAGAGCTCAGGAGATGAAGCAGGGCAGAGCTGGAAGGAACAGCTGTAAGGCAGGCAACAGTCCATACACTCCAGTGGACAGGGCTGGCAGATGGAGAAGTGAGAGGGAGTTTGACATAGAGTTCAGATTTCTAGTAATCAACATATGTCTGTGAAAATTATCTGCTTCTGCAGAGACTGAGCAAAACTTCACGTAACAATGCTGTTGTAATGAGCAGTTAATGTAATTAATTACATAGTGTAATTAATGCATTGATTTTCTTAGCCCATCAAGCTTCCTTTGGGTTAACGCATATTTTGTCCTAAAAGTTAAACCTTTACTACTGTTTTAGTCTTGGGATGTTGGCAATTTGGTGAAGCAAGCTAATAATTTGAATTAAGGTTGATTACTCTCAGCGGCCACGTCCTGATGTGAGGGTGATTTAAGAAAAACGCCATCTAAAACTGAGACAATTTACGCAAACCCCAATTCTGTCACACTGTTTTCAGCAGCAGCTTGAGGACCCAGTCCTGCTCCTGTTGGAAGTCAATGGCAAATGTTCTAATGACTTGCACAGCAGTACGTTTGGGCACTAAAAGGGAAGACTGTAGTGGCATCACCATGGAAACCAGCAGCGCTAGAAATGAGAACCAGAAGAAAAGAGTGAAGAATTCAAGGAAATGCAGGAAGAGGAAGTATTTTGCTATCACACTTACGTTGTATGAAGCCACCTGCTCAACAAGTCTCTTGTCTCTCCCAGATAATACAATTTCTTCATTATCCTTACTGGTTGACTTTTTTGCCTCTTCTCTTTCCTGATGAGTAGAAGCAAATCACATGCTATAGTAATCAGAATGTCTGAACTAAAAAGCAAGGAAACTTGTATTTACTTTAATTAAATCTGAAGGGTAGAGGCCACGACAGAGGCCACCAGATATTTTTTGCTCAGCTTGATAAAGGGAGAAACTGGACACACTGTAATTGGAATTCAATGAGCTGATACAGAGTAGCTGACTGCTGCAGAAGGGAGCGGGAATAAATGAATATCAATGTTACTTAAAATCCTTATTTCCTTGCCTTTACCTTTAAGCCTGAATTAATAAGTTTTGATAACAAAGCAAAATGTGGAAAAAAATTTTCATTGAACAGCTCAGGGTATCTTTACTTTGTTTTCACAGAATATCAACAACATACATACTGCCCGCAAGTGTATATGAATGAATAAATAAATGCTCACCTTGGCTTTTCTCTCTCTGTCAGCTGGAGTATCTGTCCAAATAGATCTATCGCCTGATTTGTCATCAGCTCTTCTTTTGAATGTTCTTGGACCAAATCCAAAGCTTTTCAATTCAGGTGGAAGCTCTGTCATCCATGATTCCCTGGTAACTTGCTTGGGTTCATCCTTTACAAAAGAAACAGCAGCGGGGGGGATAGTGAAAAAAGCACAGTCAAAAATTGCTGTCTGAATCTCTTTGCTTCCAGCAGAAATCATGGATTTTTCTTTGTCTTAACAATTGCAAATACTTAGCATCTCATGCAGAACTGCAACTGGGTTCATACATAAATAGGCAAAGAAAAACACAAACACACTCCAGCAACAAAATATCAGAAATTAAGAAATCCAACTTACACTGTCTGCTGAAGTAAGTTTTTCCTTCATTCTCTGAGCTCTGCGTTCAAATTCTTTAGTCACATCAGACTCCACTGGTCCTTTTGCAGGCATTGGGCCTATGAGATTGTCTTCTTCCTCACTGCTATCTGTTGCCTTCCAAAAACAAAACATTTCTCTCAACCATAGTGCTAAGACCATCAAGAAACACTTCACAGGATTAGAATGACTTTGTCTGGAAGAGCATATAAACCTAACACAATGCATCTGCCAGTCAGACAACAAAAACCTGGATTACAGCTCCAGATGAGACCTGTTCTAGCACTTTAACATGGATCCTTAGTCTCCGTGTTTCCAAAAGCACCATCTCTTGTCTGAGGCAGAACGCAGCGCTGCTAAACACAGCGGCAATACACCAAGTCCTGCTACTTGACACTGCTCTGCACGCAGCCACGTAGCCTCTGTGGCCATAGGTAAATATGAAACACACAAGTACATCTTTGATATTCTAGGGTTTACCATCGCTAGCAACATTTGGATGCATCTCCATAATAAGGATTGCGATTTTGCACCGCAAGGAGAACCGTCTTGAGCTCAGATTCTGTATGGATGCTAGACAGATTAACACGCAAGCTGGGGTACAGTGGTACGCATGGCACTACACCCCGGGTGTACAGTATCTGCCAGTCTGTCATTCACTGCTTCTATCCCTTTTGACATTGCATTCTAAGCAATTATTTGCAGAACAGCTCAAAAAACTAAGTTTGAAAGGGACTAGATGTTAATAAGAATCTTTGTGGGTGCCAGGGGTTGTACAGAAAGCTCATAGGTCCCTCCAAGTTCAAACAGCACAGATGTGGACAGAGGCAGAACTAGACAGAGAGCGGTGAAGACACAGTGCCCCTGACGCAAAGCGAAGATGCCCAACATCTACAAAAATGAAACGATTTAGCTACAGCCTGAACGTGGGTGATAAAGCAAAAGGGGCAGGTCAAGGGAGGTGATTCTGCCCCTCTACTCTGCTCTCGTGAGACCCCACCTGGAGTTCTGCATCCAGCTCTGGAGCCCCCAACATAAGAATGACATGGATGTGTTGGAGCGGGTCCAGAGGAGGGCCATGAAGATGATCAGAAGGCTGGAGTACCTCTCCTACGAGGTGAGGGAGCTGGGGCTGTTCAGCCTGGAGAAGAGAAGGCTCCGGGGTGACCTTAGAGCAGCCTTCCAGTACCTGAAGGGGGCCCACAGGAAGGATGGAGAGGGACTTTTCACAAGGGTGTGTAGTGATAGGACAAGGGGGAATGGCTGTAAACTAAAAGAGGGCAGATTTAGATTAGATATTAGGAAGAAATTCTTCACCCTGAGGGTGGTGAAACATTGGAATAGGTTGCCCAGAGAAGCTGTGGCTGCCCCCTCCCTGACAGTGTTCAAGGCCCGGTTGGCTGGGGCTCTGTGATCTTCAAGGTCCCTTCCAACCCTTACCATTCTGTGATTCTATGATTCTGTGATGATGAGGCTGTACAATCAGGAAGCACAGAGCTTTACATGAGAATGTAAGGTGGTGGCAAAGAAGTTTCAAATGAAAAATGAAGAAGGTGGGGTAGATGGCATGTTTTTGTCATATCAAACTTTGGTTACCAGATGGACATCCTAGAACCAACATATGACACCATCGGAGAAGAAAAGGGCTCAAGAGCGATGGACAGTGGAAAAACAGTGTCAGGAACCTTCTATGTAAAGTAAGGCGCCCGAGGCAGAGGTGACCCAGTGGAGAACACAAGAACAGAGTACAGAACCTCACTAGAAGAGTCACCTAATGGCAGTATGAAGAATGGAGGGCAAGTGAAACGTATCCTGCTGCACTGAGTTCAAGCCTAATACTTCAGGCTGCTCATAGCTGGCATCCCACTGCTGTAGATGGATTTGGGCTGAGAGAGACAGCAGGTGTGAAACAAGCCACTTTCACAAAATCATAGAATCATTAAGGTTGGAAAAGACCTCTAAGATCATCAAGTCCAACTGCGACCCCAGCACCACCATGCGTACAAAACCATGTCCCGAAGTGCCATATCTACACGTTTTTTGAACACCTCCAGGGATGGGGACTGCACCACTTCCCTGGGCAGCCTGTTCCAATGTCTGACCACTCTTGCAGCAAAGAAATTTTTCCTAATACCCAATCTAAACCTCCCCTGATGCAACCTGAGGCCATTTCCTCTTGTCTTACCACTTTACTCCTATGTGTGCGATTTGCTACAGAAACTGGCGTGCTTTAATGACGCTGCTCCAAGCTAGCCAAGCCTGCTGGCCCTGTCTGCCTTTAGGAGTCAAAGGTACGAGTAGTGGGGAGCGCAAGTTTCAGGTAGCACGAGACACAGCTACACATGGCTGCGAGCCATGAGGTGTGAGAAGAGGCTTAGCAAATTTAATGGCTGTATGATCAGTCGCATGAAATGGATCTGAAATACTGAGGAGGGTGAGAAATAGCTGGTCATTTACAAACACCATCACTGCAAGGTGGTAACACGCATTTCTCTCGTCATTTTTCTCAAAAACATATACATAGTCAAGCTTTCACTAATTATCTGCCACTGTGATACTCCTTCCACTTTTAGAGAGTGGGGTGACTGAATTCTCTCTCTCTCAATTTTTTTTACAGGAGCTGGTGGGGAAGAGGAATAACCATCTTGGGACACCAAGCTACTAAAACACTTTCTTGTCTCTGTATACAAACAAATAGAAAATGCGAAGATGTAAGACTTTCATAATAAATTGTATTGTAAAGTAGTTGAGGATGAAAGACAAATTCCACACTGAGTTTTAATTGAAGAAGCCTGTCTCATTTCCTTTCTCATTAGTCTTAAGTTCAATTCACTCCATTACCACCTGCCTCAAACAAGATGAAATTAAACAAACATTACAAAATACTGCCTTCAAGTTTGAAGGGGAAATCAACATAAAGTGAAGAGTCAGCATGGAATAAGCTGCCTCTAAAGATGTACTAGAATAAAAAATAATTAAACAAATTGAAGCCAAATGTACACTCCCCCCCCTTCAAAGTTAAAGAAAAAAAAAGATAGTATTATTAGGAAGAGAAAAAAAGTTAAAGTTCTGTAACAGCTGTAACAAAGCTGATGCTAGAAGATCTATTTAGGAGAAAAGAGACTTTCTTGTTTGTGAAATATGTAAGCAGACCAGTTTTGACATCCCTGCCTCAAGAGATTTGTCACTATGATAAATTGCTTAATCGTTATTTGGAATTATAAGATGATGAGTATCTTAAAAATGTCAGACAATCATTCTTCATGAAGGATTATGACAACACTCACTGTAGGAGGCTGGAGAATGATGTATTTCGCAACTACTAATCAAAAAAGTGAAGTTCCAGAGCAGCCTTTGCCTCATTCCTTCCTAGCATGTCCCATAGTGTCTGCGAGTTAAACTTCAAAACGCAAGTGTTTCAGAAACAAACAGATAGCTGTTAATTCTCACAAGGAATTCATCTTCAGCTTACCGTAGCATGAGAGAGATTCAGGTGCCTAAACAGTGGTATCCAGCACCATCTCTGATGCCTTAGGGTATCCTGCCTGGCTTAAGAGGTGCTGCTCAAGAAGGATGCAAGCTTCTCTCAGGTGCTACTCCCTACCTGCCAGCCCAGCAGACGATCCAGATCCCTCGGAATTGTACCACAGGCCCATGTCTAGGGAGCTGAATCTTCCCCATACTTCTAGCTGTATTTTATCACACATCTTATTCCCGAATGTTCTTTAGTACTGCATGCATTATTTTGCAGCTAGGGCTTAGACTACAGGACTTCTACCCCGTTTTTACCTAACATGATGAGAACAGTCAGAAAACACCAACCAAAAAATTGTCAGTGTCACTGTCCTGCTCTGCCTTGCTCCCAGCTACAGGTATCATCTTGCTATTGACAAGAACAATCAGTGCCACTGTAGTGTCATTCTTGATTGCATTCTTTTGGATAAACTTTTTTAACATATCCACTCATAAATATTTTTAAGATATGTGAAATATTAATTCATTTTGCTCCCCCATCAGCAAAGAGTAAAAGCTTGAACTATAGGTAAATATCTTCATTCTAACAGATGGCATCGCTTCTCCAATGTCTTTAAAAATTTGAACTTTGGCAAGACGTTCGCTTGTGAAGGACGCCACATCAAAAGAAAGAATGGAAAAACATTAGGAAGAGTTACTGTGACTGCAGTTTAGGATGCCTAGATCTCTTGTGTTCAGCGAGCGCATCATCTGTCTAACAGCAAAATCACAACAAACCAGACCAGCCCTTTTCTTTTTTAAGGCTTATTTATGCTTCAGTATTTGACTCAGGCAAAAATACGCCAGACACTTTCTGGTCTAAAATTAAACTGTCATTCTGAAAAGTACATCTAGTAGACTTTTTCAGGCTCCTACTTGTTTAAGCATTTCAGATAGCTTGTACTAAAACAAAAAAGGCTTCTGTTTTCACAAACCTGAGTACGGAATTCTGATGAAACAGACGGTCCTATGGAACATCTGCTATTCCCGGTGTCCTGTGAAGGTTTCCTAAAGCCAGGTGGTAATGCAGGACCTATAATGGGCCTTGATGGGTGGGGAAAAAAACACTCTGTTTTCAGTTGAGGGGAATAAAAAAAGGAAGCACCATAACCAACATGGACAGTACATTCAATGACAGCTTTCCACTGCTTGCTGCAGGAAAAATAATGTAATAGATTAATATAAAAATAGAAATAGAATATTGATGCAAAGTGTGATTCTCCTTCCTCCCCACGCCAAAAGTACTCCCTATGTGCACACAACAGAAATAGCAGAGTTTCTCTGTTTTTCAGGAGGACTTCTGCAGATAGTTGCCATGCAAGAAAACCAGGAAACCTGCAGCATGTAGTCAAGGAAATCCACTTTCTTCTTCCCTAGCTTTCTTCACCAGATTCAAGAGCAATGAAGTGGGTCAAATATATGCTACTCTTTCTCTAGCAGCAAAGCAAATTTTTTTCATTCTTGCCTTGCACCATAGTTTCACTGCCTTTCAATAAATAGAATCAGTGAACTGCTCTGATTTTATTTTCACTTAGAGTGGGGACAAGAGAAGAACAGTTTTGTGATCCCAGGTAACTTCAGCTCTGCAAGCAATATAATTCAATTGTCTCCAGGAACACAGAAAGGCAAGACTCTCTTTTCAATGGTGTTCAAAGCATACTACAAACTGTGCTTGCAGTACTGAGAAGACTTTTGTACATTAGTTCCTCTTAACAATCCACCATCACATCCTTTAAAGCTAATAAAAGCTAATTAAAACCCCAAACAATTATCACCTGAAGAAATATCCAACTGACAGTATCCTCACAATGTATCAGCAGAGACTTTGTTTATTATGATCTTCAGTTTCTGAGTTTTAGGGCCATCAAATGTAACACAATATGAATTGAATTATGCTAATTATGGTCTTCTACTAAATCCCGCATAATCTAATCAGTACTGCCCTGCTGTAGTGATATTACTGTCAGGATTTGAAGAGGGGAAATAAAAAGCAGAAAGTCTTGCCAGAAAGCCAACCACAGATAGACAGACACAAGCAATAAATGTGGGCTCAGGCCAGGACAAGGACACTGGTGAGGTTTCAAACCTAGGCAAGAGGTCTGGGTTAAATCGAAGTTCCACCCCCACCTGGCTGCTGCCAAAAAGAAACAGCTTTTATTTTCCTCTGTTCCTTTCCGACTGCTTTCTTGTTAAGATCGTATTTTAAATTCCCAATGTAATTTAATGAGATTTAATTTAAACCTATACAGATACAGCCAAAATAATATTTTATTTTAGTATGCAAGTACCTTTATTTTGCATGGAGAGACAGCTAAACCAAACTAGTAAAAAAGCTTTCGACTAAAATATATAAGAACATCTATCTGTGTTGTGGGCTGTATCTGTGCAACTTGTGAAAAAAAGCAGATCTCAAATACTCTGCCTTGCTTCTGTCACAGCTCAAAGGCTCTTCCAAGGAATAGAAAAATGGTTCCCATATTCATCCCTCCCACGCTTTCCATTTCTATGTTGTTTTGTTGTTTTTTTTTTCCCACATGAGTAACCCTGTTGCTCGAGTCTTTCCTCAGCAGCACACAGCCGACATGATTGACAGTTTCCTGGAGGTCCAAAGGCTCTCTGAACAGGTGAAGTGAATCTAAATAAAACTCTGTGAAACACATTTTGCTGCTGTTGGCAACTTCAGTACTTCTCTATACACATTCAGAAAAAAAAAACCCCACACTCATAATGAATTCACTTTCATTTAAGGAATATTCGATTTCATATATGGCAACGAATGCTTTCCTGTTGTTGGACTCGGAGTCCTTGGTAATGCATGTTTCAAGATGGGTGTTTCAGCATTCTTCTGATGTGTAACATAAATTTTTTTAAGCTAACCTTTGCTTTTTACCTTGATGTGTGAATACTTCGGGAATATTTATGAGTGCTGCACTTCTGTCTAACATTGCTAAACAGCAACATCCTTTCCAAAGTTGAAGACAATCTGTTCATATATATATTTTATGCTGGAATGATCCGAACAGTTTTTAGAAAGCTGCAGATTGCCACATGAACTGCTCCTAATCATGAACATATTGCTTTGACAATTCTGGAAAAGATGTAACAGAAGAAAAGCTTTTCTGAAAGAACGAGTATGTCACACAGAGCTAATAAACACTATGTCCATAAATTGAAACAAACAGCCCGAATTTGTTTCAATTATTCATGGCTAGGTTGTCAGCTGGCAATCTGCTTGATGCTAGGGGCAATGCAGCGGGGAGACAGTTAACAGCGTTGTGTCTACACCCTGCACAGCTTACGCGCCTCAGTGCATCAGCACAACCAGACTGCCAGGTGTACGGGGGTGGAAGACAGACAAGGCTCTTCCCACACATCGCACCTTTCCCACCTATTCAGGGAACTGGGCTGGGCGCAGAACGGCTCTGCTCAATCTGCTTTCTCAGTGTGTGCTAGGAGCAGTCGTATAGTGAGCTAGAACACACACAAAAAAAACCCCCAAAAAACCCCCAAAACACAAAAACCCTAGAAAATGCCTTTTATTGCTTTCACCTCTCATACTCACAGACACAGGGCAGACTCCTGGCCTCCGAATGCAAATGCAAGCTATCCATCATTTTGGAACTAAACTGCTAAGCAGAAATAAGAGTTGGGCGAACACACAAAAGACTAAGATTATATGATGGGTGACCACCTGTGTTACTGCTCGTTTCTCTAACCTTCAAGCTACAAGTTGCCTCTTCTTTGTCTCTTCCTTTGTACACTTTAGCATAGCATTTTACCACAGGAGTATTTATGTCAAAAATCAAGAAAGCAGGAACGCCACCTTTGTTGATACTAAAAGCTACAAGCATTTATTTGCTTTATTAGAAATCACATTATTTTAGTGACTTCCTAAATTTTATAATTAAAATAACACATTGTGCATATGAAACGTAAGAAAAAGAAAATATATTAGTTACTTTTGGGAAAATCAAAGCACCAAATAAGCCCACTGAGCACGATACTCACAATTACAAAAGAGTTTGTCGACTACAGTGAAGTGTAACCAAACAGATGAAGAGGACACTTCCAGATAACCTTAATTACATAAATTCTTCTTTTCCTAACTGCTGCCAAGAACTATAAAAATATATCCAAACTAAAAAAAAACTCAACTTAGAAATTTCCTTCTAGATCGTATACTACATACACAGCTTGACAATAAATTCAGTCACATTCCTAGAACTCAAAACTCATACCTGACAGGCAGGTATTGAATTATTTTATCTACCAGCTCCCTATTGCTCTAGGGAAGATAATAGTGATCAAGCGACTCTACTGTACCTTTCATCACTAAGTGTTCCCTTGGAAGTACCAATTTCACTATGGATTATGATATCAATTATAGTAGGAAGTGCACAGATTGATGTGAAGACTAGAAGTCTGTGAGATATGGTTAAGTTCTGCATAGAAAAATCCATAAACAGTTTTTTTGGGAAGTATTTTATAACCACGTGGAATCAAATGGAAAGCTTCCTGATAGAGGCTACAAACAATGCTTATTTGCTTAGACATGACAGCTGGCTTTCTAGAAACCTACACTGTTCAGATTAGTTTTCTACCTGGAGACACCTAAACAGCAATCCTTGGTGCATCAGCAAATGACAATGCCAATAATCTCTGCACCACACAAAAGCTAACTGCCCTGCTCCCTCACAGCCCAGAGAGAACTACAGAACTGTGGGTCCTTGTACCCTGTAATTTGTTTTTTTCTGCACTGAAACCTATCATAAGAAATGCGAGAAATCTGACATTCAAAATTTAACTTGGACAATTCACGTTTTTAATTTTTATCTCCAACCTTCCAGCCAGGACTAGGAGGGCTATGTGTTCTGTTTCAAGCAAATACTGTTCCTGTTCTCAGAATGTGGAGGAAGCAATTCTAATCATCTGAATCTGAAGTGCACAAGTGAAGTGTTCTGTAATAGTGCCACAAAATATTTCATCTAAAATAACTGTGTTTTAAGGAAAAGAGTCTGAATACAATTCCATTTAAATTACCTCTCTGGAGAATCATCCTGTTTTTTAAATCCAGGAGGAAGAGCAGGCCCAAAAAAGCCATCATCATCATCATCTTCCTGAATTCTTTTTGGCTTTCTGCAAATAAAAAGATTTCACTTAATAATTACCTTGACATGCGTAGCAATTATCTACATTTTAAAAAGAAAAAAAATACATAAAATTATTTCAGTCTTATGTACTAAATATCCTGCTGTTACCAAGGAGACAGTGCAAAAGGATCCAAAATAATTTGAAGCAATTAAAAAATTGGGAGCATAAGCTTCACTCCAAAAATGCTCTAACATTTAAAAAAACCACGAAGAATGCTTTTGCTGTAGAAAGAAGAGTAGTATAATGTTGAAATACCATTTTCTAGCCACAGAGTAATTTTAAATTCAGCACTCTTCTTTCTCTGTTTTCATACACTGGCTGCATTTTGACTAGTATTTTTCCCAGTTCAGTTCTACTGAACTGAAAAATTGTTGAACAAGACAACAAGAGAAAAGTGCGCAATAACTACTCTAGCACTCACTAAGATGGCATAATGCCCTTCAAGTCCCTTATACAAGGCCTAGCACAAACACACACAAGTTCTCTACACAGCAATTGTGAGTAATCAACCCCACCAAATTAGAGTATGTGCAGACTCCTGTTCTTCGCTAAACAATCTGAGTTTTTTCATTAGAGTTGACTTAATTGAATGCACAAATTCATGCCTATAAATAGTTTTTACGACCTCTTGATGAGAGGTAGTACACCAGAAACAGGACAAAACTCCAGTACCAAATACTTACATACGTGATAAGTGGTGTCTGTCCTTAGTACAAACAAGCAAAACATCAAGGATTTTATTACTTTAATTGCAGAACTAAAATAAAACATGTAAATACAGAGATCTGATTGTCCTAAGTAACTTAATTCCACCATACGGTGTCAAACACGTCAGCTGAACATTCTTGACCACAAAGAACATGCAGAACACAGCATCAAGTTATACACAGGTATAGGGTTTACCTTTTGATTTAGATAACACTCTCCCTTTCTCATAACTTATGCAGACACATTTCATTTGCAATACAATGTAAATCTACAAATAACTGAAGAACATACTCACTTTGATGCTGGATCTCCTTCTGTCTCCTCTTCAGAATCTCTGTTTGCATCCCCAGATGGATGAAGAGATTCCGAGTCGTCGTCACTGTCAGGACTTTCTGAGCTACAGCTGCTTTTATAGCCTGGAGGCAGTGCTGGTCCTGCAACTGAACATCCAGAGTTATTTGGGATACTTATTAAACATTTCAAATGAGTATGATCTATTTTGGTATCCCAAAACACGTATCTACCTGGAATTAAGTTTATTCAACCACTGCACTGTCTAGCATTTAGAAAAGCTAAATACACTTCTAGAAGTTACATTTTTCAGCACCATATTTCAATGAACAACCCCCCTGAAACTATAGTACATTACCAATCCATTACTACATGAGTGTCTTCTGGAACAGCACTAGAAAGCCCTATTTTATCTAACAATTGATTTACGATGCATATGATATAAACTGGTATATTTAAAAGAAACCGCCACCTTAATAAAGCGTTTGAAGCTTACTAGTGAAGAACTGCATCATTTGCACATACACAGAATGGGAGACCATAGATTAGAGGAACTGAATTGCCAGGCTGCTGTAGGAATGGCTTAGCCATTAAGGTTATTCCCAGTTCAGCTAAGCGTGAACAGCAGGCACAGACTTGAGTACTCTGCTGGAACAGGGATGATTTAGGCATTCAGGCTTTCAAAGAACCGTTGCTGTCGGAAGGCCGGGGCAGTGGATGGGGCTCTCGTGCTCCAGTCAATCCCGTGCTCTCTGGAGTAACGAGGAGGGGAGGATATCCCAGCAAAGGAAAAATTCAGACACTAACATTGCTAACAGGCCTGAGACGTTTCTGCCACTGTCTCCACCAGCAGGCACAGCCCTTTATAGACTTTATTTGAACACAGTGCCATGTACACTGGGTTCACACGTAGCTTAGCCACTGATCCTAACAGCAAGTTCACCCCAGACAAGACACTTCCCACCGACACCCTCACAGGCTGAACCAACACAGAGCCAGCTGGACTAGCAAAGACCAGCAACGGTCCCAGGATCCGGGGCAGCGCACGCAGGGCCAGCGCCAGTTTACACACAGAGCACAAATAGCCATCTGATGCAGTGGAGATCTGATCGCACCGATGATTTAGCATCCTGAAACACAGACACCATTCCTCCTTTTCACATTTCGAACACTGAGTCCAAGATTCACAGGACAGAAAGCCCTTTTGGTGGAGAAAAGACATTGTTAGCTTTATGAATAGTCAAAGGTTAGACGAAAAGATGAGGTGCAAGAAAACCACATAAATAAAGGGTACCAGGAAATTACATTTCCAGTTAAAGAATGATGACTTTTTGATGGTGCAAAATAAAACCTGATACAGATTATGGTTCCATTGTTAGCTGACAAAGGCTAGGCAGAAATTGAGTCCTTCAAGCTTTTACTTGTCTTTCACACAAGACACAGAACAAGGACAGTCTACTAGTTACAAAGCATCCAGACAGATCTGCCACTTATTTTGTTTTCAGTTTTAATGGGAAAGACTTTAACCAGGACATGCATCACTTCATTTCAGCACTAAGAAGGAAAAAACCCACAACACCCCAGCCTATAAAGTAAAGTAAGTTCCAGATGAGAGGGAACCAACCGATGAATGCTAAATAGGAATAAAGACTGCTATCAAGAAGTCTCCCACTTTGGTATGAGAAATACCACTAAGTAAAAAGCACTTAAAAAAACAGACAAAACCCGAACAGCTTTCTCCAGCCACCTGGTGCCCTGGTATGCTGAAAGCAGAGCTTCATTTGCTCTGAATGCAGACAGGTAAGAGACAGGACTTGGAGTGAAGGAGCAAACCGAGCTGCAGTCTGAGGAGTCTCATACTGCAGAGGAAGAGAGAAACTGGGAGCAGCTTTGTGACTGGAAAGAAGACGTAAACCCAAACCAGTTAAGGGAGAAGACTGGTCCCACTGACATGCTGTCCAGCATCAGGGCTAACACATGCTTTCTATCCCAATCCCTCTCCAGTATGCCAGCACAACTGTTTGTGTGGGCTATGGAATAAATCGGATCGGGGAACTTACGAGACATAAAAATAACACTGCAAAACCCAGCACTCCCCTGAAAGAACTGTTTGTTTGTGGAACTGCAGCCTAAGCAGGACAGCCAGAAACAAAGAGAGACAGAGACTGGTTCTGGGAGGGAAAATGGCATTTAAAGCCTGGGGAAGGAAGAGTCATCTGGACATGGTGAAAGAAGTGGAGGAGAAACAGACTTGAGAGAATGGGTTTAAAAATGAATACGGTCGTGGTACTGTCGGAGACTAATAATCAGCATGGGTGAGGATACAGCTATAGATCTAGGGAAAAAAGAAAAAGAGCACAGAGGAAGGAATAGGAATGGCTAAGCATAGATTCTTGCAGAAAAGACAGCAGGAGGTAAGGAAGGAGGCCAAGATCTAATGAGAAGTCTGTGAATGAAATTCTCTGGAAGCCATGGAAAAGTGGAAAGATACACATCAAAGGAAGAACAGAGGACAGCTCAAGAGTGCCAGGAAACTAAAATCAACGAGGTGAGGAAAAGAAATAGATGTAGTAATGCTAGAGCAACAGTGAAGTGAGCAAGTAACCAGAACCCAGACCAACTCAGAGCAGGAGAGTGGGATAAGAAACCGTGAGAAGAAAACTTTGGGGATGGAGGTAAGAGAAACAGAGCCAGGGACACTTCTCAGGTCAGAGCAAAGAGAATGTTTCACAGCTGCTGGAAGTGGCCATCCTACTATCGCTGCTCCGATTTGCCCCCTCCATTGAGCTGGCTCTGGTGACCGGCTGCCTGAAAATTAAGTCAATTCAATTCAGAAACCAAATGAAGAACTACTTTTTGCTCTGGCTTGTTTTTGCTAGGTTAATTTCTGCTGTATTTGGCGATTCTGAGCAATCTGCCACGCCATCAGGCAGGCACTGGGAACCTCTCAAGGACAGACAGGAGCAGGGCCTTTCACGTTCAGCAACAGTGACAGATCAGCTCAGACATATCACATCAGCACATCTGTACTTTTACGAATGTGGCCTCATTGCTGAAACAGACAATCCCCCCCTTCTGCATCTCAGGTTATTTTTAGCCATTCCCTGGCATTTCTTTCCTGGTGGTACAAGGACAGCACAGAGGCAGGGATGAACGGGCCAAAGGAAGAATGATTGATTCGTCCAGCAGGAGCACATTTAGGCCAGCTTCAAAGAATCATCATGGGATGAAGAATCGCAAGCTGAGTGTGTTCCATGGGTTGGACAGTGACAAGCCGAAGAAGGAAAGGTAAAGGAATTACCAGGGATGAGCTTCTGAGCCTGTCCAACTACTGATTGCTCCCCTCCTGGTCCTGATGAAAACTCCCAGGGTTTTAGCAGCGTCAGTTTTCCGATGCGACCAAAGGACACTGGTAGCTCCTGGTAAAGTCCATTTTGGGTCCCCCTGTGCTGACCTCCAGGCAGAGCAGCAACTGGCACTTTATCTTAGCTACTCCCTTATCTTCCGAGGCAGCAATGCACAAGGAAATGAACAACTGAGCTTTTAACTCTGCTCGTGATTCACAGCAAAACACCAAATGTTAACATCAGTGCAATCACACAAGCTACAATTACTACATTTTCAATTTTTCTTTAAAAAACAAAAAAGGCAAGAATTTGCATGCTAAAATTTACAACTGTTAACAGAGCTGTTATGTCCGGGGTTGGAACCAGATTATGTTTAAAGGTCCCTTCCAACCCAAACCATTCTGTGAGTCTACATTATCCATATACAGATGAAAGAAATGCAAATTTAAGAATGGATCAACAGACATTTATTGTGTTCACTACATCCAGCATGGCAACATCACATCGTACAGATGGAACACAAACGCTTATCTGGCAGCCCAGAGGGCAAACCGCGTCCTGGGGTGCATCAAACACAGCATAATCAGCTGGTCAAAAGAGGCGATCGTCCCGCTGTATTCAGCGTTGGTGCAGCCTCACCTGGAGTACTGCAGTTCTGGGCCCCACAGTTTAAGAAGGATGTGAAGGTCCTTGAATCCGTCCAGAAGACGGGACACAAAACTTGTGACAGGGCTGGAAGGCATGTCCTGTGAGGAGTAGCTGAGGACTCTGGGCTTGTCTAGGTTGGAGGAAAGAAGGCTGAGGGGCGACACGGAGAAGGAGGTGCTGAGTTCTTCTCCCTGGGATCCAGAGATACGACGTGTAGGAATGGCTCAAAGCTGTGCCCGGGGAG